GATATAAAGTCACATCCCCTTTGCATGCTGTTATCCCCTCTATAGCAGCCCTTATGGACACCCTCAGTCATGAACTAGGGATGCATCATTATGTTGTGGACCTTGCTAATGCTTTCTTCTCTATTGACATAGCACAGGAAAATCAGGAACAGTTTGCCTTCACGTGGGAAGACTGGCAGTGGACATTCACTGTCCTTCCACAGGGATACCTCCACAGCTCCACCATTTGTCACAGACTTGTAGCCCAGGACTTGGCCACATGAAGAAACTGCAAATGGTGTTACTGTATAACTACATTGATGATATTATGCTCATGTCTGATTCTCTTGCAGATTTAGGAAGGGCAGTTCCTAGACTGCTGTAATGCCTACAGGAGAAAGGATGGGCTGTGAACAACACCAAGGTACAGGGACCTGGTTTGTAAAATTCTTGGGAGTTGTCTGGTCAGGTAAAACTAAAGTTATTCCTGAAGCAGTCATAGATAAGGTCCAGGCTTTCCCTATCCTACCACTGTGGCAGTATTACAAGAGTTTTGGGGTCTTTTGGGCTACTGGAGAGTATTCTGTATTTGGCACAAATTCTGAAGCCTTTATACAAGTTGGTACAAAAGGGAATCAGGTGGGACTGGGATGAAATGTGCAGCTGCTTTTACTGCTGCTAAGTGAACGGTCAAGGTCATATAGGCCTTAAGTGAAATGGACTCATCAAGGCCCTATGAGCTAGATGTTCATGTAACGGAGGATAGTTATGGATGGGGTCTTTGGCAGTGGCTTGAATGGACAAGCCAACCTATTGTATACTGTTCACAACTATGGAAAGGAGCAGAGGTATGGAACACCTTGATAGAGAAGCAACTGGCTGCTATGTACCATGCCTTGCTGGCTGTGGAGCCCATCACTGGAACAGCTCCAACTAAGGTAATAACCACCTATCCCATAGCGGCGTGGGTGTGAGAGTGGACCCAAAGGCCATGGAACTACACTGGCCAAATGGGGTGCATACTTACAGCAGTGTAGTGCCCTCTCTACTAACCCCTTAAGTGCAGAACTCCAACGCTTATTGGGGCCAGTGACATATACCAGTGGAAAGCAGGAAGAACTTGCATTTGAGCCATTGGTAGCCGAGAGTCCTTATCAGGGGGAAAAGCCCCTATACCTGAAGATACTTGGTATACAGATGGCTCCTGTCATGGGCAGCCCCCGAAGTGGAGGGCTATGGCTTTCCATCCTAAGGCTGAGACAATATGGATGGAGGATGAAGAGGGGAAGAGCAGGCAATGGGCTGAGTTGCAGGCAGTATGGCTTGTGATCCCCCAAGAGTCCTCCCCTATAGTTGCGTGCAATACACTGGCCAAATGGGGTGCATACTTACAGCAGTGTAGTGCCCTCTCTACTAACCCCTTAAGTGCAGAACTCCAACGCTTATTGGGGCCAGTGACATATACCAGTGGAAAGCAGGAAGAACTTGCATTTGAGCCATTGGTAGCCGAGAGTCCTTATCAGGGGGAAAAGCCCCTATACCTGAAGATACTTGGTATACAGATGGCTCCTGTCATGGGCAGCCCCCGAAGTGGAGGGCTATGGCTTTCCATCCTAAGGCTGAGACAATATGGATGGAGGATGAAGAGGGGAAGAGCAGGCAATGGGCTGAGTTGCAGGCAGTATGGCTTGTGATCCCCCAAGAGTCCTCCCCTATAGTTGCGTGCACTGACAGCTGGCCATCTATCAGGGCTTGACCCTGTGGCTACAGTCATGGTTACATATCGGCTGGATGGTTGGTCTCTGGCCCCTTTGAGGGCAAGAGTTGTGGCAAGACCTATGGGCCTCTGGTCAGACTAAGACTGTTACCCTCTGTGACTAGCCATTTGCCTTTGGCATACCCAGGGAATGATGAAGCAGACACATTAGCCCAGGTGTGTTGGCTAGAAGGAAAGTCTGCCTCTGATGTAGCCCAATGGTACATCAGTGTTTGTTGCACATGGGACAAAATGCAATGTGGGCTGTAGCCCATTGGTGGGGCTTGCCACTGACCTTTGGAGAAGTCAGCAGAGCCCAGGAGTGCCTTGTGTGCTCTAAGAGGGAGGACTTACACTGAGTCCCACAGCAACATGGGACAATAGTAAAGGGGCCAATACCCCTTGTGAGGTGGAAGACAGACTGTATTGGGCCTCTGCACATATCAGAAGGATATTGGTATGCCATGACTTGTGTGGACAAAGTACTGGACTGTTGGTTGCTTTTTCTGCACATTGTGCAGATCAGCAAACTGCCAAAAGGGGCCTAGAGCATGATGATTGCTCTGAGCTCCCTACCTGTTCAGCTATTGACTGCCTGTGGAATGGGTGAGCTATGGACTAAATCCACATAGGACTTTGAATTTAGCTGAATACTCCTGCTTGAAGATTATCATGATTTTATTGCTGTTGTTATTGTATGTTATTAGTCTGGTTACAGTGCTCTGGTTTTCTCGCACAGGGGCCATTGCAGAAGATGGGGAATGAGTAGATTGTGAGGCAAGATTTCTGGAGGGGTGGAATATGGGTAAAAGTGTAATATTTCCAGAATTTTGATGGGAAAATAATAAACCAAAGAAATTTCTCACAAGCTTATCCTATTTTTATTAGGTAAACTATGATCAAATGAGGAAAATAATTAGGAAAAAATTACAAGGAATAGTTTCTTTCTTTCTTTCTTTCTTTCTTTCTTTCTTTCTTTCTTTCTTTCTTTCTTTCT